TTTTACATAACTGTGTTGTTATTCATGTAATAACTCAATTAATAAACCTGCAAAGACATATTTAGTGCTTTAGCCATAACATAAGAATAAGCAGCAAAGGATTTTATAGACATATGTAGCTTAAAAGTTATCACACAAAAAAATTGATTCAAGGATTAAAAAATTGCATAAAAGAAAAAGTGAACTCATTAAGGGTAAAAAGGGGAAAAAATGGGCTTTGCAGTTCCAGTCAGTGTCCACAAGGTGGTGGTATTTCTTAAATATGAGTAACTTCCAGTTGCCTTTTTCATGTTTAAAATCATTTAAAACAAAATACTTTATTTTGAAAGTTAAGAAACTAAAAAAATAGAAAAGAAAAAAAACTGGAGGAAAAATTATGTGCTTTGAATTTGGTCGATTTATAATTACTGTAAAAATGATTATTTTTTTATTAAAAGAGAATAATTGTTTTTTTTTTATTCATTTTTACTTTGTATTTTTTTTTAACGGATTGTAAAGAATAAAAAAATGTAAACCATCTTTTCCATTTTAATTTAGAATACAATAAAACCAATATTTTCATTCATTTGTATATTGCATCTGTTTGCCGCTAATTTATGCACACGCCTGCCCACAGTATTTTGCTATATTTGTAAACTGTTCTGCCCCAACTGAGAAGGGACGCGCCACAGCAGCGAGGGACACATGGCCGTGACTCAGAAACACGTTTAAATTGGACTCATTCTGGAAAGCGGAATGAGAAACTCCGAGCCCGTATGTTCTCTGTCTGGTACAGTTTTTGCTGAAACGTTCTTGCAAAACCACAATTAGGATAAAAAAAAAATTCTCTTATCGTTATTATCATTCAGAAGACAAGCAAGAAATCCCGGAAGCCGTTCTGTGCGGCGTGTTTTTTAAAATTAAACACTGCTGTGAAAGTGCAGTTAAAAATGAAATCACACTCATGGTTAGAATCCAAAATACAGAGATGATATCTAGAAAAAGCTTTCTGGTCGACCGCAGTAGTGTGATTCACCCCGCTCTTGTTTTCCCCCTCCCTCTCTGCTATCTCTCTGTCTGTGTGTATGTGTCACATCCTGACACCTGTGTGTAGGTGTGGACCCGGGCACAGGTGCAGGTGCAACCTCCCCGGGCCTATTTTAGTATTGGGGCAGATATTTTTGCATGTGTCTGCATGCAGGAGTCGTGCGTGTGCGCGTGCTTGTGTGTGTCGAGGCATGTGGAGCTGCGGCTTGCTTGATCGAACTGCTCTAAGTGGTGTGTGGTTTGGCCAACAAGCTGTTTTCCAGAGCCTGCTTATACTTTGCATTTCAGTTTGATTTTTTTTCTTTTTTTAACACTAGAGATAACCTTTTAATAAGATGAGCTTGAGCTCCTTGGGTTTGATGGTGAGAGCTCTAATCATACTCTTGGATCAGTTTCTCTGCCACCTGCTTCAGTGGCCTCAGTGAGCCACTGTTTATTTCCACCACACAGTGTTCAGAATGAGTAGAGATATGCAGGGAGAATATCATGCAAAAACGAGTCACATTTAAAAGTAGCTGCAGGAGTGTGGGGCTTCTTTGTGATAGGTTCGAAAGGGGCTTGGAAATGCATGGTACAAACATATAGGCATCTATACACAGACACAGTGAGCAAAGGCAGGACAGGAACCAGGCTGTGTATGCCCATCAAACAGAGCCTATTGTCTGCAGATGGGCTTATAATGGCCCCACAGCTAGCTACAAAGTGTCCCTCTCCGGCTTGCTCCTCAGTCCCTAAATCATCCTGCGAAGAGAAGCATTTTCAAATGACTCTCTCCTTAGGTAATAGGTTGGAAATAATCCTCCCAATGGTCTGAAAGAAAGAACATTTTGGTGAAAACAGGTGGTGCTGTGGAAAAATCGGGCCTAGACTCAGACACTAAGGTGTTGGTTGTTTATCAGACGTTCTCTGCACTTTTACCCACACGTGCACATGCAGTCATGTAAACACACGTCTCAACCACCACCTCGAACGTCGTCCTGTACCGACGCCTAATGCAAAAGGGAGCGCCCACGCAAAACAAGCAAAGACACCAAAAAGACACCTTGCACAGGCGTGCACCCACGCAAATTTCTTGCACTGATATGCTCTCTATTGTGTCCTCCTTTTCACAGCCTTTTCTATTTAACTCATCTTTGACAGCATCAATAGATCTCAAGTTATTTATATGCAGTATTTATATACATCTTTCTATTTATTCTTTTGGCTTTTCCTCTTTATGTGTTTTGCACAACGTAATTTGCAGGCAAAGACACTAACACAGCATTGTTTGGTTGGATGTATAACAGAACAATAGTAGTGCTCTCTTACCAGCTGGCGAACAGCTCAGCCTTCTTGTTCTGCTCCTCACATAATTGTTTCATCCAAACTGGTCAGCTCTAGCAGGTCGATTGTGCATGTTTTTTGTAGCTTTCATATTTAATTACTCATACATTTATTTCATGATGGTATGTAAAGCTATATGTGGGGGTTTTTTAAGATGCCAGATGTGTTTGCGTCCCCTCCCATACTCTCCCATCCCCTCCCTCTGGTTCCTGCAGGGGCACACGGTCTCAATCAGAGCATCGGGGCTCCAGGAACCAGAGCACAGCAGTGTCTCTGTGCGGCCCAGAGAAGTGCAGCCTTGTCTGGGCTCCTGCATCTGTGGTTTAGGGGGCAAGCTGGGGAGAGAAGGCAAACCCTGGTTCCTCTGCAAGCTGGATCACTGGAGCTCTGATCTGTTGGTGAAGATTTAACTCAGTGGGAGTAAGGAAAAGCTAACGCTGTGTAGTTAGCTATGTCAAAGTTTGGTACAAACTTTGAATAAAAAGCTCTCTAAAAGCAGGTTCTTGTGGTGAGCTCACACACGTTCATACACACAATGGTAAATCCACTCAGGAAATGTAAAAAAGTTGTTTCTCTCTCCCTCTGGGAGTGGAGCTGCAGAGGGTGGAGGGCAGCACGTGCTGCAGGGCTCAGTTGACTACTAACTGGCCCACAGGCTTTCTGGCTGATGGCCCATTCTGTGACATGCTGCACCTGTGAGCCTGTGTGTTGTCAGCCATGCTAGCTAACTCAAGCTACCACCGCATGACA